GATCCCTGATGGCAAATCTTAAGATAACCTTAGCACATGGAAATTCAGAATCTTTTCTCTTTGGGCTAAAAACCACCTGAATAACAACCAAATAATCATTAGTGAACTTGCAGATGAGAAAGAGCCAAAAGACAAGTGTCCCTGAACATTTGAGCTATTTCTGCCATGTAAGTTTTGACAGGAATGCTTTTCATCCCCACCCTACTATCTCAGTGGAGAAGACAAAATCCCATTCATTTTTAAGACCCACTTTGAACACTACTTCTCTGGTAAAGCTTTTCTTAACGCAAGTATCACAGAGATGAGGTCAATCTATATTCATTAGTGCATTTATCTATGTGACTACCCTCCCTATCAGACCACAAAGTCCTTGAGTCAGGATTCATATTTTATTCATTTATGCCCCAAAGCCTTCTTCAGGGCCTAGCACATAATGGATTGTCAAAAATGTTTATTAGGCAGCTAACAATGACTATTAGTATAAATGAAGTGTCTCATAAAATTATTGTGTGGGTAAGCATACTTAGGAAATCTGATAATCAAGTATTACCTGAGCCAACTGGAAGGACCCAAAGGCTGCAAGCTAGATTTAACCTTCTTAACAGCCACCTCTCAGCTGTCAACAAAACGATTCTTTCTTTTTTGGGGGGATAAAATGACCACCACAATGCTAACAGTGTAAAAATTATCACAAATCTAGATTCTGCTTTTGATAATTTAGGGAAACAAAATTTATTGGATACATACAAGGCTCAAGTCAATGTAAAAATTATTTTTATTTTTAATGAAATACATTTTAAAGAATAAGACTATGAATAACATTTAATAAAGCTCTATTCAGATATTTTATTAAGAAAACCCTAAGTTCATTCCTAGCACCTAAATTGAGTTCTACTCTTTAAATCAGTAGTAAATTTTGTTTTGAAAGCTCATTGCAGTGGGAAATAAACATCACACATGGACAAGTATAGAATCTGGAACCAGACTTCCTATATTTATAATCTACCATCTCTGCTTACTGACTTGGTAACATTGGAACATTATTTAACAATTTTCAGCCTCAATTTCTTCATATGTAATATGGGAACTAATAGTTGTATCTTTCTTTTTTTTTTTTTTTAATTTTTTATTGTGGGTTGTTCAAAACATTACAAATTTCTTGACATATCATATTCCACACTTTGATTCTAGTGGGTTATGAACTCCCACCTTCACCCCATACACAGATTGCAGATTCACATCAGTTACACATCCATTGATTTACAAATTGCCATACTAGTGTCTGTTGTGCTCCGCTGCCTTTCCCATCATCCACCCTCCCCCCTCCCCACCTCTCCCCTCCCCTCCCCTCCTCTCTCTCTACCCCCTCCACTGTATAACCCTAGTTGTATCTTTCTTATGGAGTTGTTGTGAGGTTCATGAGAAATGTTAACATGTTGTAGCTGCTTAGTATAGGTTATGAAGTTACTGAGGAAAGCTTGTCTGTAAACTTTTCTCTCTACAGATCTTTGCAAAGAAAAAAAATTTTCTTTATTAAGAGAATAGTTACTAAACATCTTCTCTGTGCCAGACACACACTGGTACATACTCATGAACAAGAAAGCCTGACCCATCAAGAACTTAATATTCACTGAGAATGTAGCTCAGGGGTCATGGACTTGCCTTGCATGCATGAGGTCTGGGATTCCATCCCCAGTACCGTAAAAGAAAAAGATTATATTCTAGTGGAGGACACTCATCCTACAGGAAATGTTTTCTGAAGTAATATGGTTAAAAAAATAACACAATACAGAGAAAAATGATTCCTTAATACATGGTGGCATGTGAAGAACTCTGAAAAATATTTAAGATCTGAACAATGTAAAGGAGAATCCATGCAAGGATCTAGGGGGACAATATTAAAGAAAGAAGAGTGAATATGAAGTTCCTGAAAATTAGAAACATCATAAATTTAAGCAACATAAACTAGACCATTGAGTTCAGAGAAGGGTGAGTTTAGATTAGAGAGGATGAGACCCCAGAGTTTGTAGGGACTTGATCATGTAGGACCTTGGTGGCCACTGGGAAAAAGTTAGCTTCAATTCTAAGAATAATGCAACGTTATTTCCCACTGCAATGAGCTTTCAAAAAAATTTACTACTGATTTAAGGAGTAGATCTAAATTTTGGTGCTAGGAATGAACTTAGGGTTTTCTTAATAAAATATCTGAATAGAGCTTTATTAGATGTTATTCATAGTCTTATTTTTAAAAATGTATTTCATTAAAAAATAAATAATTTTTACATTGCCTTGAGCCTTGTTAGCAGTAGGGAGGAATGTGAGCTAATGTTTAGTTGATAATTCGGGGTGTTTTATAAAGATGTTGGGTCAGGAATGAAATGATTTACATGGGAGTGATGGAGGCATATTTTAAGACTGAGTTAAAGACTCACTAATGCATGTGAGAAAATGAGATAATTCCTAGATTTCTTGGCCTGAACAATTATATGAATAACATTGTTATTTAACAAATGGGAACTCAAAGAGAAGCCAATTCGAGAATGAAAATCTCAATTGTTTTGAAAATCCAAAGTTCAGTAGTGATGTTTAAGGTAAAATTATGCATTTGGGGTTGGGTAGGAGCATCTAGAGAGAACTTAGATATATATAAAGGGCAAAGACTCTGCTGTAAGCATACCAAAATTCCAGGGCTGGTGAAATAAGAACTTTCAGACAACACTGTAAGGGAGCAATAAAGTGAGTGAAAAGGAAATCATGAGAACATAGTGCCCTAATGAAATATGAAGCACAGTTTCAAAGATAACAGGTCAATGAGATCAAATGATGCTGAGAGCCTTTGATGATGTCATAGAAATTTGGAGGTCATTGTTGACAGGAACATTATAATCAAGTGGTTGGAACAAGAGCCTAATTTGAATGGATCCAAGAGAACTCAGAAGATGAGAGAACAAAAACATGCAGAGTAATTTACTGAGGAATTTTACTAGTAAAGGAGAAGAAAAAAAAAAAGATTGTGAGAAGAACATAAAGAGGATGCGGATTCAGAAAAGCTATTTTGTGCGAGTTATGGCTGCATGCTGTCCCTTCTCTAAGAAGGATATTTTAGACTGAACATTAGTAGGAATTATGTTTGCTTTATAAATGAATCACCCCAAATCTGTGAGGCATATTCTAAAGTGTAGTCCTTCCAAGAAAGGATGTTTAACTTGAATTTAAACTTTGTACAGTTGAGATTCTTTAACAAAAAATTGTAAAACACTTTTCTTCTTCTGAGATAACACTTGTGACTGGTGTTGTAGAATAAAGTAAAATAACATCTCCTGATTTAATTTTAATAATAAAGGCATTTTCTACATTACAGATAAATACCATATAATGAAAAATTTGCCATGAGGTATAATTATAGTCTCTCGTTCTTCTTCATACAAGAAAATAAAATTTCATTCATTCAAAGTTGTTTCGGTGAATCAAATACTTTAAAGCATGAAATGATAGAATATATTTTTAGAAATATTGACAATTAAGTTGAAGACTGCCTTTTTACTAGTTTTATGTCAAAACTGTCTTTTATATAACAGTGCAATGAACTGTGTTTTACTAATACCAACTAAATGTGTTTTTAATGATGTTATAATAAACCTAAAATCTTGAAAGCAGTGATGCTGTCAAAGCATAATTGCTTCAAACTTGGAAAATAAAGCATTTATCCCCAGCACAATGTTTATTTGCAGATAAATGGCTTGTTTTCACCTTGGCATTTATCTGATAGCAGGAGGAGACACATCCTTGGTAAAAGTTCTACTATCATTATCTCTGACTTTAATCACAAGCATCTGCTTGGGGTTTAGTTCTTCCTCTATAAAGAAGAAAATGGGGCTATTTCAAGAATCAATAAAAGGGAACCTGTGTGAGACAGGCTTGAGCTCCCCCCAGAATCATCTGGCCCTGCATACCAGACTAGCTGAGGGAAGGCACCTGCTACATTTGTAATGTCACCTGGGAAAGTCTGCTGGGACCTCCACAGAGTACTGCCCAGAGGGCAATTCAGTGTGAAATTTCACTTCATAGCTTGTCAAGTAGATCAGTCCTGGAAATGAAGAAATGTCTATGATGAGGACATAGAGAACAAAATTAAAATGAAGCTTCAGGTTACTGATTTGCAGCTATGGCTCTTTGAGAATGGAGTGAAATTGACACCTGAATCCTGTGTGAGAAGTTGGCCTTGACCAGATCTATTAACACTGCCATCGTCTTAGGCTGATGAGATTACATTGAGACAAGAGGTACTATCTATACAATTATGACACAGACAGAATAAGACTGACTCGTTGCCATCATTTAATACCTGTTTCCCCATGACCCTCCTCCTTACATCCTCATGTTACTCAGAAATCTCTCCTGAAAACCTCCACCTTTGATATTGAATGACTTCCCAGAAAATCCTTTAAGAGACACTTATGGCTTATCAAAACCACTTCACTTTTTCAAGACTGTCTTAACTCATAATTCTCGGCTTTTTATGTTGTAGAGGCCATGTTTCTCCCCTCCCTCTGCCATGGTCTGGCAACAATTTGGATTTAACCAACTTTGGGTTCTTAGACTACCATATTGTCTTAGTTTGAAAACACCCAAGCCTCACCAATACAACTTCTCCCTTTGGATTACGAATTGAAAAACTGATTCAGCAGATTAAGTAGCTATCTTAGAGGAGCTATAGAGTGAGAGAACTGAATGTACCCAGATAAGTTAAATCCTTGAGCATGAGCAGAAAGCAAGAGTAAGTATAAGAAGCCTGTCAGTTGAGAAAAATACAGCTACCTGACCAAGAAAAGTGCTGGTGAGCATCTATGATCACCCCAAGGGAGAACTGACTCAGGTTCCAGCTTGAAACCAACTTTTTAATAGTTCTTATTCTTAGATTTTCAGAGACTTTTATTTATTGCTAAAATAAATTGATTTTACTCTCAATATCTTGAGTAATACACACACACACACACACACACATATTTGAAGAAAAAAATCTAACTTGAAGTCAGTGAAGTGATATAGGCACTTAGTGATATTTGAATGGATTTCAGTGAAGAACTATCTTCTACCCATGGTCCTCTAGAGTCTGGTTTTATAGCAGAAGGATATAAATTCAGCCGCATATCTTAAAACTTGTGACAACATAAATCCCAGATGATCACCATGAGATTGGGGCTCAGAGATCTTCAAAAAACTCTAACCATGGATCTCAAAATTTGGGATTCATAGTCTTTCTTCAATCTTACTTATAATTCTTTATATAAAATATATCCCAGCAAACACATATTTGTTGAACAATTTGGTTGTTCTTAATTATCCTCTCCAAATCAAGATAGCCTATCCCCCCCAGAACTCAGTTTGAACACAATCTTATTGTACATATATATTGAATGTAAAGGATTTAAATCTTGCTCCATGGGAACAAAGTAGTGAGACTTTTATCTGTGGGACCACCTCAAATCTTTGGCTCTAGTGTACTAAATTCCAACATAGGATTTTCTTTTACATATTATTTTAAATTGTGAAATTTATGATATCATAGTTTTCTGAACTCCTAATATTAGAACATTCATTTGAAACAATATTTCAGATCATAGCATTTTAGCACAGTGCATTGCAAATCTTTGCCAAAGCAGATTGGATTTGGGCATTAGCCCAAAGTCTGAACTTTAAAGAGATGTGGAATGTGTTTCAAGAAGTCCTAAGGTGAAAACTTGAAGCTGAATAATGATGAGCTCTCTGTTTGTGTATAGTATGCCTTTGTGGAGGCATAAAAACATGAACTATAGGTATGGATTACGTAAGAAATTGAATTATTTAAGTATTGTAGTGCCTCCAAATGTGACTTATTTAAATCTCCAAATATTGGTTTCTACCACTTATTACAAACATTAGCTACAAAATCCATATATGAAGAAAACAATCAACTGTAGGTCAGTAATGAGGATAATATTAGAGAATTTTTAAAAATTAAAAAAAAACACAGTTGCCTTCTGTGTTCTCTCTTCTCATCTTCCCTCTGAACACAACCCTAATTTTATCAGGGCAGCAATGTACCCACATATTCAACCACATTTCTGATTCTCTTGCATCTAAATATGGCTATGTTCTGGCTGAAATATGCAAGCAGAAATGTTAAGTAAGACTTGCAGGAAGAGAAGCCTCAGTGAGGAAGATGCCTAATTGGTTCTTTCATTTCTCCCTTCTAAAAGCTGGATCTCAGATTATGATGGCCAGACACCTCTAACCAACTGGGATGGTGAGGTGACCTTGAGGGTGGAACAGAATAGTTCCAGGTAGTTGCCTTAGTAGCCCCTGACTGCCTACCAGACTCCATTTCCATAAAAGGGAAATAAACTTATTTTATTACACTTTTACTGGGTGTTTTTAAATAAAATTAAACCAAATCCTACCTGATTCAATAGCCTAACCTAAGAGATATTCTTCTAGGCCTATGACATAGGTAGTCAGAGTAGAAAATAAATGCCCTGAATACTTCTAAAAAATAAAACCTGTATCTTCATCTCCTGCCTGTGTTTCCAGGTCTTCTTTTTAAAGTACAGATCTATTTGGGAACACCATTATCATTTGAGTGAACAACAAAATAGCATCTTATAAAAACAGACAAGTAAGTGAAAAAGGTGAAATTATATAAAAATTTACCGCAAAACATTTCTTTCACATTTATGTTGACTATATAAGGTTTAATTAATTGTAAAATAGGGATGAAGACTAATTCCTCCTTTGGAAATTGTTATAAACATTTGTATCTGGAATAAGTGTATTTTTTTCTGGATAGAAAGTAATACACATATTGCTTCCTTGTAGCAGAAGAGCAAAAAGACTCCTTTCAAAACTATGTCTCTATTACTGTTACTGTGTTCTATATGCATTTGAAGAAGAAACATTATCAATCAATTAATTCTTCACATTTTAAACATAACTGTCACCTTCTTATGGAGAATGCTGAGAATATCTTCTCCTTTGCCTTAAATATGGAAGGCACTTGTGTTAAAAGAGGAGGATCTTTATTTCCTGAGAGTTCATCTATGCCTGCTGGTTATTCCCCAGCTCAAATCATAATCTTGTTTGCAACATCATAATCATTTACCCAGTGAACAATCAGGGTGTCACTAACAAAGAATTATGACTTTAGGTAGGGGATAAACTACAGGCACAGATGAACTCAAAGGAAATAAACATTGTTTTCATGCAAATGTGGCTAGTAATAAATAACTAGGGATAAAAATTATGATGAAACAGAATATCCTATAAAAACAGATTTGGGAATGTATAAATAGTATGTTTTGACTTTTCTCTGGAAGTATGATGTAAAGAATGTTTATAAAGTGTTAGAAAAATTTTAGTATTTAAAAGCTTATAATATATACAGTAGAAGAAAGTTATGGGTGTATGTATCAATGTTTCAGAAATAATTTCAATAGAACAATTTTAAATATCTAGCTTTTAATGTAAACACTGGCATTATGCATCATTCAGTCTAATTATTCAGTTCACTGAGAGAGCACTTCCCATTTTTGATGTTCAGTGGGCTTTGTCCATTATTTATGTCTATGTGACCCTAAATTCACATACCAATCCACCCTTAATTCATCCATATACTCAAAAATTATGGCATAAACTCATGAAAAGTGATAATAATTAGCATGGCACAGCCTTTTCTGGCTCCAACGTGTTTTTGCATTCCTAACTTCATCTTATTCTCACAAAATCAATAGCAACCTGAGATAGATCCCACATTTCTCTCACTATATATATGATATTGTCTCCCTTGGCAAAGTTGGGGACTGAAAAGCCTTATCACTTGAATCCTGCAAATTCATTCACCTTCTAATCTGAGTTAGGCATTGGGTGGGGCTATGCACAGTGGTGAACTAAATGGACACAGTAGTGCTATATTGAAATTTTTAATGTAGTCATAATATCTTGAAAAGCACACAACTGTATTGATAAGTGATAAAGAAAGAATAAAAGGACAAGGGAAATCAGTTTGCATAGAGATTAGAGAAAGTTCTTTTACAAGGTATATTTTGAAACCTAAAAGATCAGAAATAGCAAGTGTCAAAACCTGGATGACATGAGCATTGTTTAAAATCTTTCCAAAAACTGAATCAGAGACAGAAGGAACTGCTTTTTCTGAATCAGTGCAGCGTTTAAAATATCTGAGTGTCTTATTACAGAGGTTAAGTCATTTTTAAACACTTATTCATTGAAGAATGCTGTCTGTGAACCTCACATATCTGGTACATTGTGAAACAATCTTAAGGGCATCAGGAAAAAACTGACCTGTGTTGCGTCCCCTAGAGTGCAGTAGACGTGAATGGCTTCAATGGATATCAAACACTATACTCAAACCACCAAATACAACATAATAACATTTGTCTCCATTGTATGGATATACATAGCTGTAAAATTATGGAATTTAATATGGCTAATAGAAAATTAGGAGAATCTGGGTTCAAACTTCCAAATATCAACATATTTATAAATTCATGTAGTTATATAATAGTTTTTACAGGTCCACTGTATTAACTACAGTATTAGAAATATGGTTAGCGTTCTTCTGGAATATCAATCTCTCTTTCAGTTCCATAGTCAGAGTTAGGTGTAGGCCTTTAACAGCAATTTTAAGCTCAAACTCCAAAATGAGAGAACACATCAAAGCTGCTTCAGGCAAAGGCTCTAATCTTATTTAGTTTTTAATTCCTCATTAGACTAATAGCAATGGAATTAAGGAACTTTCCTAAATGTGTGGTTATGGGAATCAAACAAAAGGAGAGGAAGTCTGCTCTCTTCTCTGCCATAGAGGACCCTCATGTATAATTTCAATATTGTATTGGAAGTTAAATTAGAAAGTCTGTATGGCACTTTTCTTACCTCAGATTTTGGCCAGAGATGCATTAATGCTGATTAATCATCAGCTTAATATTCATTTCAACATTCTTATATTGTAAAAGATAGTGACATCATATAAAATCTTCTGAGCCAGTTCATAAAAGATAGAAGCTGTGGCTGAATACATAGAAGGAATCATAGTGGTCCAGTTGTTCTCTAACAAAAATAAGACAACACTTCCTTCACATTGAGAAAAGCACTTGAGTTTTACAAATGGCATTTCAAGGAACAATTTGCTCCTTCTTGAGAAAAGAAACAAAGGTTGTCTCAGAGCAACCGAGAAGTCAAGAAATTTAAAACCTGAGCAGATACAGTAAAAGGAAAAAAAAAACACTTTTCCTATATTAAAAGATGAACATTCAACCCCCTTTAACCACAGATACTGAAACTCAGAGAGCCAGCAGCCTCGGGATGAGATGCCAGGAGGGCTTTTCATACAGGTGGTGAAGATTCAAGAGTGACTCACTGTTGTGTCTAGGGGATTGTGATAGAGGAAGTGTCATGAGGAAAGTAAAAGTTACTTTAGGAGTCACAGTCTTTCTGAAGACACTTGTTTTTTGCAACATTTTATTCTAACAATATGACTAGCTTGCTTTTGCTTATTATCCACTTATATCATGTTCAATAAAGGGGACTGTTATAGTAAAAGACATAGAAACAGCTGTAAGTCTCATCATTGTCTAACCTGTCAGTAAGTGATAGGTTCAGGTTCCAGTGCAATTTATTGATGCCACGAGAAAAGTATCAAAGATAAATTTTCATGAACGGTCATCTGTCTTGTATAATGGGTTACTGCTCAGAAACACATAGATGACAAAAAGAGTTTGAACCCTGAGACATGGCTGTTTTGGTGAAAGTACACAGCCAGCCTTCAGAATATTTTTTCTGATGTCAACAAATTTCACAAGGGAAAACTATCTTAAAATGGCCCAAGGTTACAACCACAAAATTATCCCACATGAATTCTCTTGTGCTTTTTTGTTCTTCCTTAAGTGAAACCTGAACCCCACCCTCTGCTACTCAGCATGACCAATAAAACGCTTCCGATGGGTTAATTTCCTTTGACTATGTTATGCTTTGCATAGGCGGTATACCCCCAAACTCCTACATTAATGCAGTTATATTCAGAAGTGAAATGATTGGATTGGGAGTGCTGTAATCTAATCAGGTTGCTCCAGTATGAACTGACTGACTGGTAGGTAACTGTAGGCAGATGAGGTCTGGCTGGAGGAGGTGGGTCACTAAGGACATGCCCTAGAAGACTGCATCTGCCCTGTACCCACTTCTCCCTCCCCTCTCTGCTTCTTGAACCTGCCATGAACTGAGCTGCTTTCCTCTGCTGGACCCTTCTGTAGTGATGTGCTGCCTCAGCTTGGACCCAGAGCAATGAAGCTGGCCATGTATGAACTGAGACTTCTGAAACCATGAGTCCTGAATAAGCTTTTCCTCCTCTAAATTTTTATGGTTGGATATTTTGCTTACAGTTATATAAAACCTGACTTCTGGAGGTCCTTCAAGCTGCCTAGATTAGCATTCTCCACACAAAGAACCTGCAGTGAATTTGTGTGGGTAAGGGGTATTATGGAGAAAGAGAGATCCATTCTAAGAAATTGGCTCACACAGTTAAGGCACTAGCAAGTCCAAAATTTGTAAGGCAGGATGTCAGGCTAAAGATCCAGAGGAGAAATGTTGTTGCATCTCTTTGCCCAAAGGCAAAGTGAAGGCAGAATTCCCTAAACTTCAGAGTATCTCAGGTGTTTCACATATTCATACAATGTTTGAATAAAGCTCATCCACATTGTGGAGAATAATCAGTTTTAATCAATGTCTACTTATATGTTAATCTCATCCAAAAAAAATCTTTACAGAAACATCTACGATAATGTTTGAACAAAAAAAAATAAAAAAATAATATATCCCATATATTAACTGGGCTAGTTTAGTACCATAAACTAGCCCAGTTAATATATGAAACTAACCATAACATTGGCCTTACCCAAATAAGATGCTTTAGGGTGTTTTCAGTGATTTACTAGGAAAAAAAAAAGTATGACAAATATGTCAGCTTTATTTTGTGTCTTTTTTTATCTCTATTTTTTTAAACTTTTTTCCCTCCTAGCATCAATTTTTGAAGCTACCAGACTTCTATAAATGTCAAAAATACTCAAGGGGGAAAAAAGGCACTGCAATTACAGGCTCAATTGATGATCTGGACTACTATGACATGATTATCAAATGTACTCTATTTTTAATGACAATTACTTAAAATTTAACTGAATATTTAAATATTACTTTAAATATAATAAAAATATTTAAATATTACCTTAAATATAAACCTATCTGTCATATGGTAAATTTTATAGACATAATTATCACTATTATTTCTTAAAATTTACCAAATTTTACTAATATAATCTGCAATAGAGATTGGTATTTGACATATATCATTTGGGAGTAAAAGATTTTAAAGTTAAAACTTCACTAAATTTTATTAGTTTACAATCCTTGAAACATCAAAGACATTAATAATCAAAATCTTCAGCACCAGGACAGGTAATCAGGTAATCACTTAGTTGCTTTTTTTTTTTTTTTTTTTAGTTGTGTGCTTTATTCTGGGTAACAAATGGAAAAGTAATGAACAAATGACCATTAAATACTCTTTGACCACGGTAGTGTGATGACATGTTGCTTGTCAAGGAAATCTTCCTCCTCATCTGTACTGCTCTCAGAAAGTGGCAGCAAAGATTGCATTTCAGTATCTTTTCCATAAGAGCTGGAAATACATTAAAAATCAATACACAATATACAGAACCTAGTTTCAACTTTCATTTATCTTCTGATCAATACTACATGTGTTGAAGTCATTGAAAGCAAGCAGATATGAGGGGATTGCATCAGATTGGGGCCATAATTTTCAATGTGCCCAATTTAGCAAGCCTTGCTTTAATGAGAAATTCTCATCAGTCTCCCTCTCCCAAGAAATAAAACCACAATGGAACCAAGGAGAGATAATTTTATGGTCTCTGGTTGTCTTTCATTGATGATTCAGAAAGCACCTCAGAAACTTGCAGAGCCTCAGGGCCATCATTAAGAACATTCATCATTACATTGGCTGCTTAATAGAATTCCAATGAATAGACTGCCAGATAAATCACCTCTTTTGTGTACAGTAAATTAGGACTATGTGGATAGCCAGTCAAGACATGCCGAAACCAAAATTAATGAAAGCAATTATATGTTAGTTTATTTGGTTGCATTTTATTGTGGGAGGGGCAGAGACTGACAGAAGCTTTAGCACATAGATGTATTAGGATTAGGATCAGCATATTGCATATATTTTGTTCCAAAGTTATCTAGATTTTCTCCTTATATATGCCTCCAAATAGGAAATACTTCCCCCTGTGATGGATACAACGGTTTTTATTATCATTATTATTATTTTCACGTCCAACACAGGCTAAACAGATCATAAACTCTGGCCAGTGAACCAGTACAGGAGCAACTGTGACAAAATGTTCACTTATCAAAGAAGAGAGAATATAAAGAAAAGGTAAAGACTTTTTCATAACATTCTTGATTCAAAGAACTGTGTTTTTATGGTCCCCTTGTATTGTTAGTATTAAATGCCGTTTCTTTTATGAAATGATGATGGGTGTACACATAGGTTTACTTTGCTTTAACGATCTTTTTAATGAAAAATAGTAACCTCAAATTGATCCTTTTATTTTAATGCAAGAGTGTAAAAAAATGCAAAAATCCAAGAACCAAGGTTCTTGATTTCCTCCTTGAGAAAGAGTAAACAACTTCGATAACCCTTTACTACAATTTTGAACTTCAAACCAATCAAAGGAGTTTTCAATTCAAAGGGACTTTTATTTTGTACTTATCTTAGTCTTTCTAAATGGAACAATGCTCCATTTCCAAAAATTCCAATATATCAATTATAGATTGATAAGGTAAACTTCTTTTATGAAGAATTTGTTAGTGTAAACTATAGTCCTTATAAACTTATCACCATCACTTTTATTTCCTTATATGAGGAAATAAAGAAAGGATACAAATAAAAACATCGTATCATTAATAATTTAGAATACATTTCAAGAAAGAAACTTAACAATGTTCTATTCTAAAAACTTTACTTCCATTAGGTAAGATTCTACTGATGCAAAATATTGAAATTTATGGAGTTAATTAACTTGGGTAGAACAATTTTTTTTTCAATATAAGAAATTGAAATGCTGAAGGATTACTAAATTCCAGATGTCTCTCCAATTTTATGATACACATTGTTCAGCAGAGAACTATCTTTTGACATGAAAGTAACAACTTTATAAGCCTTTTACTAAATCCTGATAAGAGCTCAGCAAAGGAAGCAAATATTTTACTAAGAATGGTCATATAAATTACACACATGAAGGCACTTTTTATTTATGAAGATAACAAGTTGGGGCTTGTCCAAATTTTACTACTTACTATATTTATATACAAATTGCAGTATTAACTTACCTTAATTCTTCAACTCCACAGGGATCCCACATCTGTGAGCTCTTTCCAAGGGATTCTGTGGAAGTCTGACTTATACTCAGAGAATGGTTGTTGAAGGCTGGTAACTCTTCTGAGGTTAGGCTGTAAAGCTTTTCTGAAGGATCTGAAATATTTTATTTCATGCATTGTCAACACATAAATTCAAGAAACAAATGCTCAGCATATGGTGCTGGAAGTTTACCCAGAATAAACTACAAGCAGAACAAAGAGGATCAGCACAGATTTTTAATCATCCCTCAGTTTTCTAATGTTTTTTAGCTGATGGAGTGTGAGGTAAGTTTAATCTGAGATTCCAAATCAGGGGATGTGGTTTTTGGGGGTGTGGCTCAGTGGCAGACCTTATTCTTAGAATGTGCCAGGCCTGGGTTCAATCCCTAGCACAAGTAACAAAGATAAAAAAGAAAAGAAAACCAAATAAATTAGGGCAGGAGTATCAAGTCATCTTAATCCTATTGATTTTTTAAATGTATATTATGCTTATGAAATGTGTCAAATGTCCTATGAATTCACAAAATTTCATAAGAAATGATCTATAAAGTTGGAATACCGTGCAGCTCCTTGACTTGCCTGCGTGTTAGACACTTCATTATGAATTCTTTTCTTCTAAGAAATAAAAGCTTCACTCCACCTTCTAAATAAAAGGTGAGCCTTGGCAAAGTTGCTCTTTTTTTTTTTTTTTTTTTTGCTTTTGTGCTTTGTTCGGATAAATAACTATTTATATTTGAAGGAGACAAAGCCTTTTTATCAAGCTGGCTTATGATTCAGCTGAAGTATGGACAAATAGTACAAATTAAATAAATAAAATGTTTAAGCAAATATACCTTATATAAATTATCATAAATTCAAACATAGACATAAATACCACTGCAATAAAAAGGCTTTAATACCTTTTCAACATTGATTAAGTTGTACAAGCCATCTAACTTGTACATAAAGTTTTACTAAGTTGGCTTTTGAAAGCTATCAAAATTGCTAGGTGTTATTATTTTTCCTTCACTCTTACCAAAGAGCCAAGTGTTCACCCCTGATCAGAAGCCCTAACACCAAGCTACACACTTTATACACTGGACTCAGCAGATTTTCTTCCTTCCTTCCTTCTTCTCTATCTTTTCTTCATTCTTTTTTTTTCTTTCTTTGTGGTAGGTAGTAACTCACAATTTTGAGCAAGCAGAGATTCTCCAAACTGAATGTAAATAAATTACATTGCTCTTGTTAAAAGACACATCTCCATACATTTACAGATGGAAGGGTCCTTAAAATTATTCACCCCTGTGACTTTCAAATTGTGATACATGTTTAAATTCAGTAGGTTTAGGATGATGAAGTTCCTATCTCCACCATTATAGAAACAATCAGGACCGCTTTATTTGATCTAGTTAAAATTCTATATAATAATAATATTTGGGAAAAAATCCAAAAGATTCTTGTACTAAACATTTTGAAACAACCTAACTACTCACATCCTTACTTAGAGATTAGGAAAGTGGGGGCCCACAGAAAAGTGATAACCTATTGAAAGTCACACATGCATAGAGGAAGAGTTGGAACTAGATCTGTATTCTTTTAGGTCACCAACATTGTAAATCACTGTGTTCTAGAATCTAAGCTTTCAGTTTCAAGGTATTGTTTTTCTCTCCTGTTTCCCACAAGGTGAAACAAGATAGTGCCCCAATGCATGTTTTTATTCTCCAATGAAGGGACTGCTCCCAAAAAAGAGCAATCGGTTTAGGTTTGGGAATAGGTAAAATTCTAAATCCCACAGTGAGGCTTGGTTCTAAGGAATTCCAGCACGACAGGTATTCAAACTCTATTAGATGTCTGAGTTCTAATTCAATGAGTATAGAGCTAATTCATATTGTGCAAATAGAAAGAGCCTGCCTTGTTGAATTATTAATTTTCAAAATTATGTTTTAGAATACCTTGTGAAGTTAGCAGGAACAAATTTGACATCACTTGATTTTAAGAAATGGAAAAATCAAGACAGAGAAAATTAAAACTGTTTACAAAAACCCTATTACAAGTTGGTGTTAAACATATAAGTCGACTATACAAAAATCTCAGTATCTTGATTGTTCTAATAGAGGGCCAACTAAGGCTGGATTGACATCTATACTGAAAAATTTACTTTAAGAATTCAGTTGATGGGGAATGGATTGACAGTAAACTTTTCCTATCTCTGATTCTTAGAAATCGCTTAATCACAATAATAAGCAACTAAACAAAAGAGGGAAATCTCAGTAAAGAGAATTCCAGGGTGCATTTCTGAAACTCATTTAAAACACATAAAACTATGTTCCATAGGTAAGCACACATTCATCTGAATTTTAAAAAAGGAACATATAAGGACAAAAGGATCGAAAACAACTAAAAATTTTGAAGAATGGAAAACAATCAGGCTATTTATTATCAAGGAACAAGAAAAAGAAGAAAAAATAACTCTCTTAAAATACTACACATCCCCATACCAATATTTACTAGGAGACAAGAACATGTGCCCTATTACCTGTGAGTCCCATTCCTAGTGTGTCAGCCCCCATCTCTCGCCTTCCCTGACTATGTCTTGCCTTTATCTCTCCTTTTCTTATGCTTTCCGTATTTTCACCCCTTCACTTTCACTCTGTCCACACCATTTCCCTCTAATGTGGTTACAACCTTAATTTGAAGAGAGGATTTCACATTATTTTGGATCACTGTCCTGTGACACAGGGACAGATTGGCTGGGTTTGTACCTTGCCTCTGCTGCAAATGCACGGGAGACAATGTAAAGCTACCACATTGCCCTGAGCCTCAGGTACTGAACCTGAAAGAGACAAATTAAGCACTTGCCTCAACTGCTTCATGGAGCAGCTATTAAAGAACAGGTGACACGTGTAACATATAAAATTCACTAGTGGTTATTATTACTCATCCATATTCCCTTTACCAATTTTTTAATATGCCGATTTTCACTTGTGTGTGCACTCAATTTCTTTTCTGTAATTTAAAAATCACCCTAAAGCAATAAGACTGCCATTGTAGCTCAGTATAATCTAGCTGTCTTCACAAGGGTTATCTGGCTTATTTGCTAACTAAAAATCTATTGGGTTTTACAGCTTAATATATTACTTGATGATCGACCTATGAATAGAGACCCCAGTGACTCAAAAAGCCATTGCTACCTTGCTTTATTTCATGGACAGAATGGCTACATCTGCTGATATCAGGTAGATTCTTTTTATGTCTTCTTTAGGAATAAGTACTTTCCTCTCTTTAATTACTTGGTTCAGTTAACTACCTGCAACTTAGACAAACATAAAATTGTTGTGGGAATATAAGGTCCACAAATACTTAAACCATAACTCAGAATGAGTTTGAAACAAATGAATCATTTTTAACTATTAAAGAAGTAAATGTTATGAAGTATATCATTACTGATCCTTTTTCATAATGCACATTTTCTTATATTTTCCAATTTTTTTCAGTCCATCAGGTCCAAAAATTAACAAGGTGCCTTAGTAAATAAATTATACTGATAAGTTGAGCTCATTAAGGAAGTGACCATAGTGTTATTTATACACTTGTGGAAGGGATAATAAATGGCATGAACTATACATTAACCATAATCCTCAAAGTAGCCCATAAGAAATCATAGTTTTTAAATGGAAACAGCTTTAAGAGTTGATTAAAATTTGTTGTATGGAGCAAGTACCACCTACTGGTTTCACCAGCTTTTTGAGAACTTACTGTGAATTAGGCACTGTGGAGATGGAGATACATTTTCCTAAACGTAATATTTCATATGTAATGTTGTTTGATCACCAATTTTTATTAAACACGACTTTTACACATATTTCATCCACTGAATCTGAGGTAAAGAGATAGTAAGAAAGCAATTTGCCCAATATCATGAAGCTAGCAAGTAATGGGATCAAGTCTGAAAACCAGATTTCCTGATCCTGAGCTGGGCTTTCAATCAACCTGGTTTACTGTCTCCAGTGTCTCGATTCATCAGGAAGTTGATCGGCAATGTGTAAGTATACACACACACACACACACACACACACACACACACACACCTATGCTTACCCTAGCTACTTCTGAAATGGCTCTCTGAGAGCCATAACAATCTGAATTAAAAGAAATAGAAATAGATTATTAAATGTAGTTATTTTCTGTCTTTTATTCTCCCAGCTCCTTGGCACAATTGTTATTTCATAGAGTTTAGAAAAAGGAAGCGGATGTGTCCTAGAGCTGACAGAAAACAAGTTAGAAGGGCTGCTGTTCACAACAATGCAGCATTCACAGGGATGGAAACACATTCACATTTGCAGAAGGGTCAAAATGCGTAGCTGGGTATGTGTGAAGCCAGATGTCCTAAGGAGTTCTCCTAGACTGCTTCCTGGGTAGCGAAATGAAGATGGAATTTTTCTGCACATTGATGCTAAACAGAGTACAAAGACCTTGTACAGAATCAGTGAATTTTCTAGAGTGAGGTTTCATCACACAGTAGCATCTGTCACCTCACTGAATGTTGGGTTGACTCAGCTAATGTGTCATCATTTCTTCCTCAGAGCTTCAGGTGAACCTCTTCAAAAACTGTGTGCTCATCCAAAGTCAACTCCCCAATGGAAAGAAAGCCAGCCCTGGGTTTAGGGTGTGAGTGTGCTTGTGTAATACTGCTGGATATTAAGAAAATCTCTGGTGGGGGGCCCAGGCTGCTCTGGGTGTGCTTGCTTTCATATATAAAAAGTTATGGGTTTTCAGTGAAAATATTACTGTTATTAGTATAAATGAGGGCCACAGGGAAAATAGTGTCGCACATCTGAACCAAAATAATAAGGAAAAAGGAAAATCTGGAATGGTAAAAAAAGAAGAATGCTGTTTGTCAACTAATGTATTTTATAAAGGAATTTATAAACTTATGAAACCAAAAAGCCCTTTAATTTCTGATTGAAACTATATGGTTATCCTTTTCAGTCCAGATTTGACATGCTTCAATTAAAAACTGGCATTTAATGTGAGATTTACCTCCCAGAATATTTATATTTATTTTTTAGTAACTTAGAGAAAGGCAAATAAATGAAGGTAAAGAAGGATCACGAATCTTTCTTCCATAAACCACTA